TGCACACAGAAATCACTCCATACGAAAGCAAAAGACTTGGCAGGCGGTGCAACATACCCCCAGTGAAAAGTAGGGGCGCCACTGGTACACTGAGAGAAAACGCAATAAGTGTCCAGGGCCCAAGACTGTTCAACATCCTCCCACCAGCAATAAGGGGCATTACCAGGAGACCCCTGGTTGTCTTCAAGAGGGAGCTGGACAGATACCTAAAGTCAGTGCCAGATCAGGCGGGCTGTGGTTCGTACGTTGGATTGCGTGCGGCCAGCAGTAGCAGCCTCGTTTATCAGGCCCTGATTCACCAGGAGGCCTGGTCGTGGACCGGGCCGCGGGGGCGTTGATCCCCGGAATACCCTTCAGGTAGACTCCAGGTAGGTACTCTTTTTCCCTCTCGTGTCTTTCTCTCTCCTCTTTTTCCCCCTCTCTTCTCTCCTTTCCTCCTTTATTATTTCCCCCCCTCTCCTTACCTCTTCTCCAATGTTTTCTCCCTCTTCTCTCACCCTTTCCTTTCCCATTTTCTTTTCCTCCTTTCCTCTCGTTGTTTCCTGTCCCCGCCATTCTCTCACCCTCCTGCTTGTAACTTTCACACATAATAGGGCAGCAGCGCACTGCTGATGTATGCAGTTTTAATTTAAAAACTACACCCGCTCTCCCTCTGCTGGTTCTCATAAAGTGTCTAGGAGTGGGTGGCGCCGGGTGCGTGGGTGGCACCGGGTGCGTGGGTGGCGCCAGGTGCGTAGGTGGCACTGGGTACGTTGGGTGGCGCCGGTTGAGTGGGTGGTGCTTGGTGCGTGGGTGGTGCTGGGTGCGTGGGTGGCGCCGGGTGCATAGGTGGCACTGGGTGCGTGAGTGGCTCCGGGTGCGTCGGTGGTACCGGGTGCGTGGTTGGTGCCGGGTGCGTGGGTGGTACCGGGTGCGTGGTTGGTGCTGGGTGCGTGGGTGGCGCCGGGTGCGTGGGTGGTGCCAGGTGTATGGATGGGTGGCATTGAGTGCGTGGGTAGCGTGTCACCGCAGTAAGTCATGTGTTTGGTCTCGTCTTGTTTATTTGACTTAGGTCCTAGGACTCGCTACCTCCATATTTTTGTACTGCTGCCTCGCTGTGTAACTTGCTTGCTCCCATCAAACACCTTAACTACTGGGAACGCCTGGAAGCATTTGACTTGTTCTCGCTGGAACGCAGGAGAGAGAGTTGTATCATAATCTACACCCGGAAGATTCTGGAGGGACTGGTCCCTAATCTGCACACGATAGTCACTCCCTACGAAAGCAAAAGACTTGACAGGCGATGCAACATACCCCCAGTGAAAAGTAGGGGCTCCACTGGTACAGTAAGAGAAAATGCAATAAGTGTTCAGAGCCCAAGACTGTTCAACAGCCTCCCACCAGCCATAAAGCGAATTACTAATAGACCCCTGGTTGTCTTCAAGAGGGAGCTGGACAGATACTTAGTCAGTGCCAGATCAGCCGGGCTGTAGTTCGTACGTTGGACTGGGTGAGGCCAGCAGTAACAGCCTTGTTGATCAGGTCCTGATCCACCAGGAGGCCTGGTCGTGGACCGGGCCGCGGGGGCGTTGATCCCCGGAATGCCCTCCAGATAGACTCCCTTCACTTTATATGCTGGTCCGGGAGTATGTCGCAAGAGTTATTACTTCCTCTTACCCCCACCTCCCCTACCATTCTCCTGTCTCCACCGAAATCATAAGTCAAAGCGCTCTTCAACCCTTCAACTTGCTTCCTTACCCCGTGATCAAGAAAAAGTATGGCCTAACATCTTCATGAAATTGTCCAAGAATTTGACATAATTTTTCAGGGTTGATTTTGATCCTTTAGATCTTTCCCTTCTTTTGTCAATAATGTACTCTGAGCAGTAACAACCGCAGAGGGAGGCGGCGGCGGCTGCTGCTGCTGCTGTGTCATCGTCCGCTGCTACTGCTGCTGTGCCATCGTCCGCTGCTACTGCTGCTGTGCCATCGTCCGCTGCTACTGCTGCTGTGTCATCGTCCGCTACTGCTGCTGTGTCATCGTCCACTGCTACTGCTGCTGTAGTGCTGCTGTATCATCGTCCGCTGCTACTGCTGCTGTGCCATCGTCCGCTGCTACTGCTGCTGTGTCATCGTCCGCTACTGCTACTGCTGCTGTGTCATCGTCCACTGTTACTGCTGCTGTGTCATCGTCCGCTACTGCTACTGCTGCTGTGTCATCGTCCGCTACTGCTACTGCTGCTGTGTCATCGTCCGCTGCTACTGCTGCTGTGTCATCGTCCGCTACTGCTGCTGTGTCATCGTCTGCTGCTACTGCTGCTGTGCCATCGTCCGCTGCTACTGCTGCTGTGTCATCGTCCGCTACTGCTACTGCTGCTATGTCATCGTCCGCTACTGCTACTACTGCTGTGTCATCGTCCGCTGCTACTGCTGCTGTGTCATCGTCCACTGCTACTGCTGCTGTGTCATCGTCTGCTACTGCTAATGCTGCTGTGTCATCGTCCGCTGCTACTGCTGCTGTGTCATCGTCCGCTGCTACTGCTGCTGTGTCATCGTCCGCTACTGCTACTGCTGCTGTGTCATCGTCCGCTACTGCTACTGCTGCTGTGTCATTGTCCGCTACTGCTACTGCTGCTGTGTCATCGTCCACTGCTACTGCTGCTGTGTCATCGTCCGCTACTGCTACTGTGTCATCGTCCGCTACTGCTACTGCTGCTGTGTCATCGTCCGCTACTGCTGCTGTGTCATCGTCCACTGCTACTGCTGCTGTGTCATCGTCCGCTACTGCTACTGCTGCTGTGTCATCGTCCGCTACTGCTACTGTGTCATCGTCCGCTGCTACTGCTGCTGTGTCATCGTCTGCTACTGCTACTGCTGCTGTGTCATCGTCCGCTGCTACTGCTGCTGTGTCATCGTCCGCTGTTGCTACTGCTGCTGTGTCATCGTCCGCTACTGCTACTGCTGCTGTGTCATCGTCCGCTACTGCTACTGCTGCTGTGTCATCGTCCACTGCTGCTGTGTCATCGTCCACTGCTGCTGTGTCATCGTCCGCTGCTACTGCTGCTGGGTCATCGTCCGCTGCTACTGCTGCTGTGTCATCGTCCGCTGCTACTGCTGCTGTGTCATCGTCCGCTGCTACTGCTGCTGTGTCATCGTCCGCTGCTCCTGCTCATGCTGCTTCGTCGTCGTCGTCGTCTACTTGTCGTACCTGGAAGATGTTTCCGGAGGTATACATCCCCAGAGCTTGGTCCCAGACCAGGCCTCCTGATGGATCAAGGCTTGATCAACCAGGCTGTTACTGCTGGCCGCACGCAGTCCATCGTACGAACCACAGCCTGTCAGAGGTTAGCTGGTAATTTTTCCATATGCTCAGAGGGAGGGTGTTGAAGAGTCGGGGAACTCTGACACTCGCCGAGATCTCTCTTAGCGTACTCTTCGCGTCGCTGCTTTTTATTGGAGTCATTTTGTACCATTTGCGAAGTCTTTTGTCATACGGAGTTACTGCAGTGTTCAGGTTTGGGACGAGTCTCTCTGAGATTTTTTTAGGAGTAAATTGTGATGTACCTTTCTCGTCTATGTTCCAAGGAATATAGTTGAAGAAATTAGAGGGTTCCCTGTAGTTCAGATGCTTCCAAGTTCAGCAGTTTCGCCTGGAGAGAGTATCATCATGGACTCAGCACTTCTAGTTATCCAGCATGTCATTTTCCTTGCGATAGCAATAACATTGTAATCCTTGATTTATATCCGCTTGAATATTTGCTGTGTCTTCGACGGACGCCACTCTGAGAGATAATAGTGTCATGCAGCTTGTATCTCTAGTAGTCGAATATTTGAGGAAAGATTTCTGTGTCCGTCGATGATGAAAAAGACTTCATTCGGATTCCTATTCCCGGACGGTTAGCACAGAATAACCCAAGAAAGCCAAACAGTGTGGCTTCCGTTTTGATCTTTAGGTCTTTTCCTAGGATGTGACCCCTCAGCCGTCGACAAACTCCTAGATGTCTATTTACTGCTAGGTGAACTTGGGCGGTAGGTGTCAGGAGACTTAGTCTGACTTACCTTTACATCTGCCCGGGATTAAGCCCTGTTTTTTTAGGTTGAGCCGAACGCTCTGCCACAGAGCTGCGAAGTCGATGTGGAAGAGTTTGAAGCGATTTTTGCTATCTCAAACTCAAGGTAATTGCGGCTGAGTGGATACGGCCACCGTGCGGTAAAGTGTCTATTGCTCATTTATAAATTATGGCGTGGGTGGGGACTGAGACGAGAATTTTCAGCCTCGCTACTCAGGCTTTTAAAAAAATGTGAACTGTCAAATTTGGCCATAGCATATAGCTGGATACAATAGTATTCGTGTATGCGAATATAATGTTAGTTCTCGCACAAACTGCATAAACACAACTGGAAACAGCAGTCAATGCTGCTTTAACATTCACCTTCATCAGGGAGAGTGATTTTACAGAGTTAACCTTTAAATTGTCAAATCGTCACATGTTATGCAGTATCATGTGCTGGTAATAATTACCAACACAGGCAAAAGTGGTACTGTGTGTGTGTGTGTGTGTGTGTGTGTGTGTGTGTGTGTGTGTGTGTGTGTGTGTGTGTTAGTTACCATTTGGTCCTAGGCACATGTCGATTAGACACTAGGCCTGTTGTATGTGCATGCATGTGTGTGTGTGTGTGTGTTTTGTGTGTGTGTGTGTGTGTACGTGTGTGTGCGCGTGTTTGTGTGTGTGTACGTGTGTGTGTGTGTATGTGTGCGTGCGTGTGTGTGAGCGAGCGTGTGTGTGTGTGTGTGTGTGTGTGTGTGTGTGTGTGTGTGTGTGTGTGTGTGTGTGTGTGTGTGTGAGCGAGCGAGCGTGTGTGTGTGTGGGTGTGAGCGTGTGTGTACCCACCTAATTGTGGTTGCAAGGGTCATAGCTCCTGGCCCGGTGTGTGTGGGAGGAAATGGGGGTGGAGGGTTGTAAGTGTTTCATGTGAGTGTTACTGAATACCTTGTTAACGTATTACCTTGTTGCTTTTCAGGTGTCGCGTCTGGTGATCCTGCACGAGGAAGCAGAGGATGGCAACGCTATGCCTGACCTGGAGAAGCCTGTTATGGCTGTTTCCAAGGCTGTCGTCAACCTCGTCAAGGTGAGTAAATTCACGCATTATCTTGTAAGGTTACTTCGTTAATTTAAGAAAAAATCACTCATTATCATATAAGGCTATCTCGTTAAGGTAAGTAAAATCACTCATCTTAGAAACTATGCACCAACATGCAGCACCTTATTAACTTATGTTTACATTATGACGATTCCGGGGGTCACCGGCCCAGTTACCCTGTTCCAGACTAGGCATCCTGGTTGCTGGCCTCAGCGACCAGGCTGTTGGTATAGGCCGCAAGTAGTCCAACATGTGCACCACAACCCGGCTGATCAGGAACTAGCTTGAGGAACTTAACCAGTTCCTTGATGAAGACGGCCCGGAGTCAGAGGCCTGGGCCTGATTCACGGAACTCACTGTTTATAAAATTTAAAACACCACTAGCACGAGCACTCACATAGGCTTTAAAAGTAAGTCAAAATACAGGCAACGTCTGTCTACTTGTCTGCATGTTGAGGGTTCCGAAGATTATCGCCCCCGTGGCCTTGTCCGGGGCCAAACCTTAGGGTTTGGTTTTGCAAATTAATCAAGGCATTGAAGAAATACAACCAGAGGTCGTATTTCGGTTAAATTGTATAACTTAAACGGCATATGGCAGACTAGGTAACCAGGGATTCAGTTAGGACATGCACAGCGCATGTTTGGCACAACATGGATCCTGCACCTGATCACTCCTATAAAGAAACTAGAGAAGATCCCAGGATTTTGTAGCGAAATGAGTTTGGTGCCTGAACTGAGGTAATGGAGTACGTGGAGCCACCTAAGGAACTCAGACTGGCAACACTAGAGATGGGGACCGAGTGATGACATGATAATGACATACAAAATACCCAGGGGATTAGATAGTGTAACAAGGAAAGGCTGTTTGAAACGTGAGGAGCAGGAGCCAGTGGACATGGATGGCAACTAAAGACGATGAGTCATGAGACGCTAGAAGTACTTTTTCAGTCTTAATGTGATAGGAAGAATTCGGGTCTAGAAGGCCAGAAATAGGCGAAATCGGTCGATAAGAGTTAAGAGGCAAGGGAAGGAATATACGAATCGATCCTTTGCAAGCGAAGTTCGATGACACAATTACACAATTGTCATCGAACTTCACTTGACTCACCTTGAAGGCCATAGATAATACCATGGTTTAGCTTCAACAACACATTATATCCCATTATCACATTGGTGTATGCAGTTATGTAGTGTGAACCAGATGGTTAAAGGTAGAGGGAAGTAATAAAGTGTACAGAGTAACGCATTAAGCTGGTGGTGGTTATGCATCGTTTTGTATCTCCGCGGGGACCGAGGCGATGCAACCCTTGTGTAAACATTGCTCCCCCATCACTGCAGAATGTCATTATGTGGAGGCGGAGCCAACCCCACCCTTCTGGTTCCCATGATGATTTTTCCCACCATTCACTATACCTGTTGAACTACATTTAGAATATTTAGCAAGCACTGTTATCATATTTGGAATGCCAAAAAGTTGCACATGGTTGATAGTTACTGCATTGACTCAAAATGTCCTCCAGAGATATTGTTATAATGAGGGAGTGGAGAGGGGTTTGAAGGCTTTCCCTACATTTAGGCACCACCATTATTTGCTAAATGTTGTGGGCAAGCCTCTTAATCCCTTAGTAAATGTTAGCCCCCTCTTTTTAAGTAATAGACTGGTTGGTTCCAAACTAACAGATTACATTTAGTTCACCACCACTTAAGAAGTACTTAATTTTCTTACCCAGGGAAAATGGGCAAATCTCTTGACACTTCCGTAAATTACCATTTACCCACTAATGAGTATGATTGGTACAAGTGTCTATATACACAGTAATATCATATTGGGCATATGCCAGGAGGAGGGATTATAAACCAGACAGAGACCTTGGCATTTACTAAAATAAAAAGAGCAAATACACAAAGGGAAATATTACAATGACTAAAATGGGTTACTTAATGCTCGTACTTTGAATATTACAAATTAAAAAAGGATAAGGTATGACAAGGTGAGTTATAGAGAGGGAAATCTTATTGCTTAGTACTCGCTCCTTTCTACCACGCGTATTTCTCCAATCGAGCACCATAATTTATAGCCCTGGAGAGACCTCATCCCTCCACACCCTGATTTCTCTCTGCTCTCCTGTCTTAAAAGTGTCTCCGCCTCCCCAACAATGTTTATTATTTCTCTGCTCAGCTGTGTAATCTCCGTTTCCACTGAAAATCTTCCTCCGTTTCCACTGAAAATCTTCACAGCGCAATCTCAGTGGCGGATGTGTTAATTAGTTTGATCTTACTGTTGAGGGTGTGGCAGGCATGAGCTACAGCTGCTTCTCCTGCGTCAAAAGGGGTTGGGTGATTGCTGGCAGGTCACCGAGTAAATAAATGTTACTGGTCTTCACAGTGTTGCCATGTTCTTACTTGCTCAGACACTTGTCCACCTCAGACACTTGCCCCTCCACCAGGGATGCCCGATGCTGCGTACTTAGTGCGGTGTCTGATGAATAGGGCAGCAGCACATTGCCCATGTGTCCAATTTTGCTAAATAAATAATTATTTTTTTTTATTTATTTCCAATTTGAGCACACATACAGAGGTACAAAAAAATACAGATAAGAGCAGTATGCCAAAGCCACTTATACTATGCATAGCATTACGGGCTGGCTTAAAATTAACTTAAGATTAACTAAGCAATGATGAAATCAGTGATAAAACATTAATGTAAACAGATTACTATAAAGCACAAGTGAGTATTACAAAGACAGGTTGTGGTTCTTATATGTGGATGTCTTTATCACGTTCTGAACCTGGATATCACATTAGCATATTTTATATGGTTATCATTAAAAAATAATTAAACTATTTTGTGTGATAGTTTCTGGAATGTGGTGCTTAAGTTGGGCTGTGTGCAGCTTGCACCAACATCCTAGTTGATTAGGTTAGTAACCGGATGGCTTGTTTGGAACCGGGCCGCGGGGGTGGTGACCCCGGAAATCGCCTCGAGATAACCTCCAGGTAGCCCTGATCAATGACATTTTACAGGGTTAGAGCAGAGGTGTTGGCATCGTGCCATGTTTGAGTGGTTACAGTCCCAAATTTGCACACCGCCATAACAGGGAGCGAGAGATATGAGAGAAAATATAAAATCAACACGATGAAGAGCAGGGAAGCCCTGTCCGGGAGCTGGAGCAAGTCTTAGTATCGTTTAGATAGCCTTGCTATCGCTCGGCATTGCGTGTCAGCTTTGCCATCGCTTCCGTTATTGTGTGTGTCACCCTTGCAGTCGCCTTCGCTATTGTGTGTCAGCTTTGCTATTGTGTGTGTATGTATCCCGCAGTCGTACTGTGCATTGCTGCTTGTTGCGTGTATTACAAACAGCGTGTTAAGTTGGGGTTAGTGCCACCTACACGAGTCAGGCGATTAGTGTCTGAATTCACTCTACTAAATCTGCCCAAACTTTCTCTACAGCGTTGTTGGTGAATTGCTTGTTCTATTGGTATTGAGCATCAACGAACTTTTACTGCTGCGCAGTTTCGTGACATTCGTACAGAGCTAAACCAAACTGAGGTATCTCCCCCTACAGGAGCTGTTAATCGCAGATCTCCGCTCAGGCTCCTTCATAATATGGGTAGTGATTGGCCTGTTGACCTGGTCGTAATGGGTTTGGAGCGAAAATAAGCACAGCAGTAGTATTTAACTTGCATTTTTCCTCACCAATTATATTATGTACACTATGTACAAGAATGGAGTATAAGTGTACCACACGGTGATAGAGGCAAAGACAGCAGCCTGAGAGAGAGAGAGAGAGAGAGAGAGAGAAGAGAGAGAGAGAGAGAGAGAGAGAGAGAGAGAGAGAGAGAGAGAGAGAGAGAGAGAGAGAGAACCATGCTTCAACCAGCTAGAGGCGAGTCTGGCAAATGTTGACCACGAGTGACACCACATCGTCTCAGCACTTGGTAGGCTCGTCTATGATTGGTTAATGAACCAAGGTACTGATTTAACGATGGGGCTCCAAAAGATCGTTAAACCCTTAACACCCGGTTCGCTGGTTGGGAGGCAGCCTATGTGGGAGTGTGTACATATGCCAAATAAAGTGTAACATACTCTTTGCAGGCCGCATGGGCACAATAAGATAATATTGTATTAACATCCGTGGGCCCGTACTCTTTAACATCCTATCAGAAGACAACAGAAACACTGTAGGAACAGTGTACAAATACCTCTGCCTAGTGTCAGATCAACCAGGCTGTGATAGATATGTGGACCAGAAGACCACTAGCAGCAACAGCCTGGTTGACCAGACAAAATCTGGCCTCGGGCTAGGCTGTGGGAGTAGGAAAACTCTAGAAACCATCAAAGGTATATCAAAGGTTGAAAAAAAAGAGGTTCATACCCTGTCATCAGTGAATTTACTCTACCATAATTTGTTCTCGTCCTGACTTGCATGTATAATGATTGCAAAATGAGCATTAAAAATGGTACACATTTCTTTGTCACTAACAGTAAGCAGACCTGAGCCACACTCGAGTAGGCCTAGCTTTTGTCCATAATATACCTGAAAGAAATCCTTTAGGTTTATCTTTGATTCCTTCGCAACCCAAATTTCATATTCTTTTTTGGCTTTCCCTATTCCTTCATTGACCTCTCTCTAAAACTGAATATATTGGTTAGTAAGGTGACATTCTCCTCCATTGATTCACCTGTAAATGTCCTTTTTAAATTGACCATCTCTAGGGGTCTTTTATATTTGATTATATTTCTGTATTAGGAATACAGGAGGCCTTCTCTGGGATCGAGGCACGGGGACGTTGACAGCCAGAATTAACATTCAGGTATCCATCGCCACTGTCTATCTGGCCTCCCTCATCATAATCCCTCGTCAGGTTACCTTAGTCTACGCTACTCAGTAGGCAGCTCGAAAATTTGGGACCTTGACTTTATTGGCACTATTAAATAGCATTCTTGTATTTATTAATAGTCTTATTTTTTGGTGACTTTGTAATTGT